GGCATTTCATTACAAAGGTTATAATTTATTTTTTAAGGAATATCAATTAAATCAAACCAATAGAAACATGCTTTAATATTAATACAATTATAAAACCCAATACACAATAATAATTATATAATAAAACATTCTTACATTTTTAAGAGAAGGTTTACAAATGTTAAAAATGTTCTATAATATAAAACTAACTATACAATACATATACTGATATAATAAAAGTAAAGTTTGCTCATTTTTTATAATAATATATATTATTAGGTGTTCATTAAGTAGGTGAGTATATTAACAAGTCAAGTGTAGTAAAAAGTTACTTGACAATATAAGTAACATTTCATTAACGTTGAATTAAGCAAATTTAATATTATTTTTATAGTTATTAACTTTGATATAATTAATATTAACTTAATTGAGAAGAAACGACATCATTTTGTTTCAGTTTATTAGTTTGGTAACGGTTTATCATTAAAAACTCTACACCTTTTTCAAATTATAATTAATTATAAATGCAATTGTTTATAAATTCCACACACATTTTGCTTGGTAAGTAATTAATAATTTGATTGTTTATCAAATTTAGACTAGTTAGTTTAGTTCATAGTTCAAGATTATCATTCTATAGCACAGTATTCTATAAAACTATTTAGTTCTAAAACTATAAGATACACGTACAACACGAGTTGCTTGTAATGACTTGTAGTCCGGGCTGTGGATCTCCTATAACACTATTTCACACAACACGGTATTTGCCTGATTGATTTAATTGACAACAAAAAGACATAATTTTGTTTCAGTTTATTAGCTTGGTAACGGTTTATCATTAAAATCTTTACAATTTTTTCAAATTAGAATTACGTATAAATGCAATTTTTAAAAATTCTACAAACTTTTTGTTTGGTAAGTAGGAAATTAATAATTTGATAAATAAAGATAAATTAAGACTGGTTAATATTTCAAGATCATCCTTCTATGAAACGGTATTCTACAATACTATTTCGCTCTAACACGATAAGAGACATTGCAGAAATCCTCGTACAACACGGAATGCTTGTATGATTTTTAGTCCAGGCTATGGATATCCTATAACACGATTTCACACAACACGGTATTTGATTTATTCATTTAATTGACAACAAAAAGACAATTTTGTTTCAGTTTATTAGCTTGGTAACTGTACACTTTTTTTCAAATTATAATTACGTATAAATGCTATTGTTTATACATTCTACAAACTTTCTGCTTAGTGAGTAGGAAATTAATAATTTGATAAATAAAGTTAGACTGGTTCATATTTTAAGATCATTCTTCTATAGCACGGTATTCTACATTACTATTTCGGTCTAACACGATAAGAGACATTGCAGAAATCCTCGTACAAGACGGGTTGCTTGTATGACTTTTAGTCCGGGCTATGGGTATCCTATAACACGATTTCACACAATGCGGTATTTGCCTTATTCATTTATTTTGACAAGAAATAGACAATTTTGTTTCAGTTTATTAGCTTGGTAACTGTACACCTTTTTTCAAATTAGAATTACGTATAAATGCAATTGTTTATACATTCTACAAACTTTCTTCTTGGTGAGTAGGAAATTAATAATTTGATAAATAAAGTTAGACTGATTCATATTTCAATATCATCCTTCTATGGTACGGTATTCTACAATACTATTTCGCTCTAACACGATAAGAGACATTGCAGAAATCCTCGTACAACACGGGTTGCTTGTATGACTTTTAGTCCGGTCTATGGGTCTCCTATAACACGATTTCACAGAACACGGTATTTTTTATAAACTTATCTACTGTGTTATAGGAGAATTATCTGTAACTGAAAATAATAAACGTGAAATATATTTTAAATATAATAAATATATATTACTTAAAGTCTTGTACATTTAAACCATTTTTTTAATTCACTTTCATGATGTAAATATTCTATATAGATGTATAATAAAGTTTAATTCATACAAACTTCATATTCAAATACAGTTTATATTGATTTTAATTGGAACTCGTGTACGTTGGGTTGCATACGCCACAATCATATTTTGAAATAAATGTACATGTAGAAATATTTGTTTCTGCTATATAATTATAAATTCAATTACTTTAATCTTTTATTATAATATACATTTAACTTATTACCTTTAATTATTAATACATCAAAATTGAAAATAAACTTTCTAAAACAAAATTGATTAATCATTCAAAGAAACAGGTAATTTATTACACCATCAGATATTATAGTTTTTATTATATAATGCTTCTTTCATAAAAAATACTATATAGTTATATCTGATTTATCGCATTGACTTGTTTATTTAAATATTTTAAATTTATTTAAGCAAACTATGCGAGCATAGTCCACTTCATTCAGACCCGATTAATTATAGTCCAGTTTGAAAATTACAAAATAAACTAAATTATAATTGAGCAATATGAAAATAAATAATAAAAAAATATTATACAAAATTATTTTTTTCGATTAACCGGACTGTGCGAGATATTGCAGTAATTTTACATGTTTTCAATTGAAAACAAAATGTTCAATATTTTCATTGCAGTTGCATGCAGAACAAAAATAAAACGCATATACGAACAATAATTGAATTGAATTCATTGTTTCAAATGAGTTGTTTGTGCGACCTATGATTGTTTACAATTAAATTCGATTAAATCGAACGCGAGTAAATTAAATCTTTCGGCAAATTAACTCTGATAATGCATTGAATTTTTGTTTCACTGTGTTTGTTTTTCTGTTTTTTTTTTGTTATTTTGTATATGCGTGTATACAAATAGAAATTATTTTTGCGTTTTCCATTTACTATAATAACATCAACAAACATGAAACAAATGGAGCAAATAAAATGCATTTTATTTAACAATAATATTAATGCGTGTTTTAGTTACTTTAACCTAATTTTATACAGAAATGAATAGTATTTTATATAATATGTAACGTATTTTATCTGATAATAAAATTGTTGTCTGTTTTATTTACTTTGGAACTCCGCTCCGGTCTATCAAAAGGAAATATGGTAATTCATAAGATGAAAAATAATCAAGGAGAGTTTAATTTGTGGAAGAACAAGATTACTGAGATTACCCAGAACTTCTACCGAAAACTATACACTCAGTCAATTTTACCCTCAGATCAGCGATTGACGGGTCAAAATTGAGCATCGATGAACTGCAAAACTGCAATGCGCCAGGAGAGGATCAGATCACAAGCACAATGCTCAAAATCTGTGAAGAGAAAACAGAAAATGCAATTCTAGCAATTTTGAATAAGTGTCTTGTCAAAGAAGAAAGCCAAGACTCATTGCAAAACGCCAAGGTCATTCTGCTTTTCAAGAAAGGCGGTCGTGCACACATGGAGAATTATAGACTCTCCATATTTTACAAGCTTTTGATCAAAATTATGACCAACCGGCTTAGCCAGAAATTCGATTTTCTATCTAAGAAGCTGGATTTAGGAAAGTATCACACACAAACGTTACTATATATGGAGTAAAAGAAGCTTCCCAAGCAGAATGTCTTAAATTGAACTTACATAAAACAAAAATTATTAGACCGAATGACATATTGACTATCACACCCTCGGAAGGACAAAAAATCAGCAAAGATCACAAGGTTTGACAACCAAAAAAATATATAAACCTCAAGAGAATAGAATATAATAAGTAGTTCCGTTGTAGAAACATTTGTGAAGAATTTTGTAACCAACTTTTTTATTGACTTCAAGGATTGAAGATATATACTTGGTTACAATCTCTTGAAAGGATAACACGTGTAAAACTAACAACATAAAAGCAATACTGTTTTACTTCAGGACAAAAGTGCTAAAAAAACAATCACTAAATTACCTCTCTTAGTAATTTACGTGTTTCTATTTGCATTCCATATTATAGGTATAATGGGGCTTCAAATTTCTAACTTCGTTATGTCACTAACCGAGGTATGATTGAGTACTCTTAATACTTATTAAATAAAACTATTAACCATTCATACTATCCACTACAAACGTTATTAAATTTTTTATAGACAGTGAAATTGATTGATTTAATGGAATTATTTATGCTAATATTTTAAAAAAATGAATAAATATAAAAAATTCTAGACAAAAATATTGTTCTAATATAAATTTTAATAAAAAATATAATTACAGAAAATATTGAAGCAATAAATAAATTCATAGAATTATCAACAAGTTAAAATATGTCAAATGAAATATATACTTTTATTACGTGAGAAAACGTGTTTATAATAGGAAATAAAAATGAAAGGATGAATTAGAAATTGGATTTGACTATATAATTAACGACGAAATTGGATCCGCTTTGATATGGAAAGAGATGAAACACCGTTTCTAATAGCTCAAATCTATAACAGGTCAGCTTCATTCATATAAATTTCTAGTAGAAAATATTTATTATATCATTATGAAAGATATCTTACTTACATACATTTTATTATATAAATATGGACAATATAAAAATGTGAATATGCGTATGAAAATATTACTTGACAAGTAATTTAACAAGTAGTGTTTATATCATATCGGGGCTATAATTTGATTGGTAAATATACAGAATTTAAATAAGTATTTATAAGTTTTAAGAATAGTTTCACAGCTTTAGTAAATTAAATACTTACATTACTGTTATATGTTGAAACGATTTTTGAGATTATAATCACAAATAAAAGTACTTTATAAGTAGGCAATAAATTTGAAAATCAAAGAACTTATCAAATTTCTCAAAAATGTTGCATATTCTGAACTGAATACATTAAAAGGTATTTTTTTCTACAAGAAATGTTATAATATAAGACTGTTCTTATTTCTATTTCTCTAATTGGATCTATTAAAATGAGCGTGTTGTTTGGTGAAAGTAAAAGAAGAACGATTAAAATAAAATTGGGTAATTTATTTAACTAATAAATTTTGATATGTACAAAAATGTGAATGTAAAAAAATATTCATTCTAACAGACGGTTTACCACTTCCATCCAGAAGCGTAACCGGACTTGAATCCACCTTGAGAGAAACCGGAGCCGGAGTATCCACCGAATCCACCGCTGATTCCACCGAATCCTCCGCTGATTCCACCGTGTCCACCTCCAATGCTTCCTCCGCTGATTCCACCGTGTCCACCTCCAATGCTTCCTCCGCTGATTCCACCGTGTCCACCTCCAATGCTTCCTCCGCTGATTCCCACCGAATCCTCCGCTGATTCCACCGTGTCCACCTCCAATGCTTCCTCCGCTGATTCCACCGTATCCACCTCCAATGCTACCACCATATCCACCTCCGATTCCGGAACCACCGAAACCTCCTCCGATACCGGCTCCTCCGAAACCACCTCCGATACCGGCTCCAACAGTGGTGTGAGAGTGGGTGTGGATTGGTACAACAACTGGGGTTGGTACAGAGACTGCTACCTTCTTGATTACTTCGACTGGGTATGGTTTTGGTACGCTGACTGGGTATGGGACGGCATGGGGAACTTTAACGACGACTGGCACCTTGACTGGGACGTGGTGTGGAACTGGAACTGGGTATGGTTTCGGGATGTGGACTGGTACCTTAACGGCATAAGGAACTGGTACTGTCTTGGTGACGGTGACTGGGAAGGGTTGTGGTACTGGAACGGCTACTTTCTTAGTAATAGTAACTACTGATCCACCGAATCCTCCATAACCACCTCCGATTCCGCCTCCGAAACCACTGCCAATACCGCTCCCTAAGCCATGACCACCAAATCCACCTCCAATTCCACTTCCGAATCCGCTGCTGTAACCGCCGCCGTAACTACCTCCATAACCTCCTCCGATACCACCGTAACCTCCGCTGCTGTATCCGCTGTAACCGCCAAATCCTCCGTGGAGGATGGATCTCTTCTCCTTAGCAGAAGACTCTCCACAGCTAATGCCGCTGACGCACAGGGCTACCAAAATGCACTGAAATCAAATAATAAATATTAAAACTCAATATCTAAAAACAAACAGATCATTTGCTCTTACCGCGAAGGATCTCATTCTTGTCTTGAGATTGGGATGTGAATGATACCATTCTCGAATTTGGTCGAGATTTTATACTTTGGTAACTGACATTCAACCAGGATTTCTCATATCGGAACATTTCGATTTCACCAATTTTTTACGTCTCTCTTTTGTGCATACTCTTCTTATTTGATTTACATAACGTAAAAATTTTACAAATGTTCTGATTTCATATGTACACAAATATCCTTTCTAATACACGCCTGCTCTTCGTTTGTGAATTCCAAACATCACTTTGTTTATTGTGAAATATGATGATGGAGCAAAAAAACATAAATAACGATAGCTCTAATTCAGTTCGTGTATCTCATTAAATATTCAATAGATCTTCCGACAAATAATTTAATTTTATATAACAAAAATACGATACAACTTCTTGCTCGTAGAAATTATTATTATTATAAAATTGACCATATGTGACGCATAATTAAAATACATATAATCAATTAACAAATATACATAAATAGATTTAATGACGTGGAAATCAATGAGTAGTAAAAATAAAATATTTTATATGAAACATTTTTTTAATAAATATACTATTACATGAGTCTTGTATAATTTATTTTAATCTAAAGTTTTTGAAAAAAATATGAGAAAACTAATGATAAAATAATAATAATCTAAAATTAAATTAAACATTTTCATTCATTACAATAATAATAGTAAAACAAAATAGATTAACTAATCCAAAACTAGTGATATTTACTTAGTTTAATATAATTAGGTTTGGGCTTCGGTTTGAAAATTTCAAAACAAACTAAATCTTCATTGAGCAAAATATAAATAAAATCTAAAATAATAGTATATAATTAGTTTTTTTAGATACATTATAGGATTTACACAGTCGTCCGGTTTTGTTTATTTTTCGTATGTTTTCAGATCTTCGATTAGTCCGGTCTTAAACAACTAAATATAATGGCAGTACTGTTTACCCGGATTATGTGAGGTATTATATATGTGCATTTGGCATCAATTCAATCAGTTGAATTAATTTTGTGTAAAATCCCAGACGTCTAAAATTTATTTTAGAATTTTTAATTAATTACGCATTAAAAACAATAACTAATAATGTTTTAAAACAGTAAAATTGCAAAAAAAAAAATAATAGTTCTGACGGTAAGCTTGTAAGATTTTTTAACGAAATTGTTGCCATTAGTTGGCGAAAATGTTCGTAAACGAGTAAAACCTTTGTATTCCACAAGTGATAAAACAAATTCGCCACAGAGAATGAAATTGGATAATAATAATAATATAACGATTTGAAAAAATAGCATATTTTTTATGCCCTGCTAGAAGTACTGAATAATGACTTTTCCGAATAATAGTAAAAGAAACAACTAGCAACAAACATATATGTAATTAATTTTGATTAATATAATTATTTTAACACTTGAATCATTATAATTAGAAACTAATGTGATTCATGGACGTTGAAGGCTCTCATTTGCGTCGGGTCTGCATTTCTCTTTGATTTAATCAATGTGTAATGTGGGTGGAAGAGCTTTCGTCTAGATCGAGTATCAGAGAGTGTGTTTGGGTTTTATGTGGCTGTTGGCACTTTATCCTTAGGACCACACGAAAACTTTGGGTCTGCCTTTTTTCTGGCTAATAAGCGTTTTATGTGATCCCGGTTGATTAGTGATCTGTTCCCAATCTGCCGTTCCATTATTTTTTCTTCATCTTCTACCGAAGATCCACTCACGGCGAATAATTGGTAGATCCTTCTTCACATCCTTTTGAATTTTAATTTATATATTTTTTTATTCGTTTTAAAGATAAACTTGTATGCACAATTTCGGCTTTAAGCGAGACAAACACGATTGTACTAATGCTAATTTTCGTTAATCCCTTGGAACGGTGGAAAACGATTTGCCACATAATCCCTGGTCCCGTCGACGCTATTCGAAGGCAACGAGCAACATTAAACGGGTCAGGTTTTGCGGCCGCTTTAATCGAACTGTGCACGTTTAGTTTATCTTCGATTTAGATGTATTGCATGCAGGAAGAGGAACATTTGCCTATGTGTTCCTAGCAAATTGTTATTGCACATAATCTGGTATACCGAGACTGTGTTTACTTTCTTCGTTGTTCGTGCAAATTCTCTCAAGAGCTCTGTTTGATTTTATCGATAACACTTACATTTAAATAATCTTATAATCTATGAGGAACATTATAACGAAATGTTTACGTACTTGTAACACCATTACAACATTTAGTATTATTAAATCGGTAAAGTTATTTCAACATTACAACATTTAGTATTATATTCTAAAAACAAACTATTTTAAAATATTTAATATATAGAATAAAAAAAAACATTTATGTAATTTATTTTGTCTCAAATCACAAATTTGCATTCCAATTCAAATAATGCAATTTTTCCAAAAAGTCTACTTTTGAATTAAATAGCCCTCAAATAAGAAAATAAAAAAGACAGGAAGATAATCTTAATTACTAAAATAAAGAAATTATATTGTTATCAATAGAATATAAAAACATTTATAAATCATTATATGTGATTTATACTGATAAAAAATACACATTTATATATAAATTACATTCATTCTTTTCGACATTCACAGGAAATAAATGCAATGTATGCAATTTAAATCTAAAATTAGTTCTAATAGATCAGCGATCGAGGAACATATCTATCTATTACCCAAAAATATATTCATCTAACCCAGACAGACTGGACAATTGCCAATATTTTTATGGAAACAAAGGTGATGACCGAGGAACTTGAATTTTAATATATTTAAATTTTCTTAATTGATGAACGTCTTCCCACAAGAATTAACTTTTACTCCATTTTGGGTAATTTTCGCTCTTTGAATGCCCAGAAATTTCAATATTCCTAGATGACGAAAATTATATTAAGTTTCAGTGTTCTTTAAGCACCTCTTGCTGCTAATAATGTTTCACTGAAAAACAATCACGTTCCTCATTCAATAAATTTCTAGCAACTCCTTCATCAACATTTTCTAAATCTATTGATTGAGCCACTTGAAAAACTTTATTTCTATTTTGATTGATGTTATGTTCTTCTTTTAGTACAAATTCTGATCATATTTTGCAATTCTTAGTGCCAATTACGACATCTTTGTTATCAAAGATAACGTTAACCGTATGCATTGCATTGAAATTAGTGTAAACAGAAGCATTTTTATATTGTAAATTTAAAAACAAAAGATGTTTCTTCTTCAATTTCCTTCACCGTTTTTAGGATTTGGTTAATTGTATCATATGATTATATTCTCGTGAATATTATATTATGATATCTTATTTAAGCTCTCTTTTCCTATCTGTTATATAAATAGTTTCCTTCAAAAAACAAATTACTAAGTTAAAAATTAAACATAAACAAATTGAAAAGTTAAATATTTATATAATTATACATTATATTGAGTGAGAATTTTAGGTGGCAAAAACAAATATTTTTCTTCTCATTTTCGAGCTTTGTCCGGAAATTTACGGTCTCGTTTAAGCACCTGCCCAGGGTCTGCATTACACCTAATTAGAGGGACGACCCACTTTGTCAACGTTACCTTACGTTACGTTACGGAACGTAACGAAGACAATAGGTCGGCCGCTCGTTAAAACCTTTAATTATTATTAGTAGAACGGTTTATAACGTATTTTAATATTCCTCCCCGCCACTGGCTTTGCTCTATTCGCATTTTGCACGGAAAAGCAGTAAACCGTTTTAATGTTTATTATTGATAATTTTATACGAATCGAGCGCATAAAGTTTTACAACCTCGAACATGGAAAACAGAAAGAAATAAAATTAAAGAAAACTAGTTTAGAGGAAAATCAGTGTTTTTAAAAGTAACAATAATTTCAATATAACTTTTATTAAAGTTTTTATTTTCATAAATTGAGTTAATAAAAAAAATAAAAACATAATGAGTTTTTATACAAATCATTTACGAATTAACTATTTGCTAATACTTTCTAAAATGGTTAGAATTGATTAAATGATTGAAATATATAGAAAATTGTGAAAGATTGAAAGTTCGAACAGTTTTTTATTCTTAAATTTAATAAAAACACTCTTAATTGATCATTTTATATGTACAACTATATAAAATAAAGTATGATTGATTGACTATTATATAAACTATAAATATTTACGAAAATACAATTTAGTTTCGTATTAGTTTATATTGAAAATAATATTTAAATTATCATAAGACATAAAATTGTTTAAACACTTATACACATATTTTCCAAATTTATAGTGTTTGCAATAAGTCCAATAACATTTAATTGATTCTTTAGTAATTTAAGTAATAATTTTAAGTATATTTATAGATTTACTTTACCTATTTATCAGTATTACAGATGTAACTTAATCATTTTTATTTATTTCATAAAATCGCATGTTTATGATAGTTTTTTTAATATTTTAATTAGTGACTTCTTCTGAATTAACTATAGATTGTTATAAATATTTCGAAATAATATCTAAGATTTCGATTAAAAAAAAAATTACAAAATTGAAAGAAAATATTTAAATGAGAACGTGATGTTCTCAGAAATTATTTGGTCGTTAAAACGTGGCGCGTAAAGTTAAGGTTCATAAAAGTATGTGAAGGGGTCTTCGGGTGGTGGCGCCGGCTTCTCCGTTTTTAATGGCAGTTTATTACACGTCCCATTTCGGCGATATAGTTGTAAGTCGATTAGTATGCGAGATGCGTAAAATAAAGGTAAAGTATGTAACAGGGGTTGCTTATGAAGATTGCCAAAAAGAATTTTAATTTTGTACAAAAAGGTGTAAGTAAAGAAGCCGAAAGACGAAACGTAAAGCTAGAGGTGTCAACGGGGTCTCCAAGTTCGTCGCGACAGAACTCGGTTAGCATCTGAATGCCATCCAAAAACTAGTATTGAAGTTGAAGGATCCTCATTCTTACGGACGATCCCCATCTTTGTGCGTCTGCTGCGGCAGAAAGTGTCCAAATGATTTAGTATGATCCTGAATAATTAAATTCGAGGACAATGGGG